AATGGATCTTGGTCGCGCCAACGATCATGTTTCTCTGCTGACTTAAGTGGCTCAGCGCTACTGGCCCTTACTTTCTCAGTCTGCTTTGAGTTACCTTTATTGGCCTCAGCATCAACTTCTGGTTGGGTATCATTCTCCGCCTGTGTAGTGGCACCTTCATCGCCTTCCGGAGATGAGGCATCTGAAGGGCCTGGCGAGGACTCTGTTCCTGTAGCGTTACGAGCCTTGCGCCGAGCGCGAGTCTCCAATGGTTGAGGTCTTATTGGCTTCAATTTTCGTTTTGGCTTTTCCTTTGGGACGACTTTGTGCCATTTGTGCTCAGGACGCATGCTCTTGAATTTGTAGAGCCATAATCCACATGCTAAAATACGTTAAAACACATGGCAAATATATATCATCAGAGTTGCTTAATACTCACAGTTGCAAAGGAGGAGTTGAACGAAGTCTAAATCATCATGGGCGAGTGATTTCTTATATATCTTGATCGAATTATGGGAACCATCCTCCTCAGGTTCAGACGGTTCCCAGAAAAGGATAGTCGGATCGCTGTTATATGCTTCAGCCTGCTCAGCGTTTGCTGGAATAACCTTCGAGTGGGCACGGCGCCAGGTCGGAGTTTCAATAGCACCGCAGTTTTCGCAGTACGGGGGAACTGTGCCTTCACGAATACATTGCTCGAGACGGGCTTGTACTTGTTTGGTCCGTTTAGCACCAGCTCCGCTGCGAGGTTTGGTGTTGTGCTGACTTGAGCCAGGAGTGGACACAAGAGGGAATTCACTTGCTAGAGGATGGAGTGGTTGAGTTTGTGGTTGCCAGGGCTGGGAAGGCCTGATGGGGTCACTAGCCGGAACACTAGCTCTTTGAGTGGCAGGCGCTATAGATTTGACGGATTTCATGCTAGCTCTCGAAGAGGGGCGTGAATTCGACATCCTGGGTGGCTGGGGTGGGAGTACCGGAGCAGAGTCCCCAGCAGAGCTTTCGAGCTGAGCACTACCCAACATTGTTTTGGTTTGTTCAGTGGATTGTTGTAATATCCGGTCATTTTGATTAGCGTCGTCATCAATTAGCGAATCGAACTGAGCACTCAAGAAGCCTGAGTCATGGTCAGACAATGGAGGAAGACCGGGGCTTGAAGCCTGGGCGTAATTGGTTTCCATGATAGGAGGGGATGAAGGCATATTAAAAGGCGTATCGGTAAACATGCTGTACTGAGGCTCCTCCGGAGATGTGGCCTGTGAATCAAAAGCAAGGCGGCTATTCGACACGGGCATTGGTGCTATCAGAGGAGAGTTCTGTGAGAAGTCAGATCGGCCCAAGGACTGACGGCGCAAATTGCTAGGAGCAATTCGATTTCGGCGAGTGGGACCTTGGGTAAGCGATGGTACGGGTGTGGGTGGTCGAACGGGTTCCTCGTTTGATAGCAGCGAGTGGCCATTCTGAGTAATTGGTGTTGGGCGGTGAATCCTCACAGATGCAGCCGTACTTGCGGCCACTCGGAGGGAGTTAGGTTGGCGTTCGATGTTTGTATTCACGTCGCCAGAAATATCAGTTCGAACCAGTTTCGCTCTCTTTGGGGCTGGTCCTTCTGTGGCCTCATCCCCACTGCCGTAGTTGGACATAATAGAACCCCTTCGGCTAGAAGTCCTATACGAATCTGGGTTGAGTATAGAAGCTCTTGACCCAGGCCGATTTATTTCGTCCACGGGCCTCTTTTGTTGGTTTGCAGACATAGCTACTCCTGGCGTTGAGGCACGACTTGGGGGGTTGTGAGAGAAATGGGCTGGGGAATCAGCGCGGAAGCTCCCAGGCCCAACAGTAGGCAGCTCACGGGGCGTCGAGCCATCACTTAAGAGCTGCTGCAACTTCTCCAGACCTGATCTGTCCAGGGGTGTGTGTTCTGATTCAGCTGCATTCTGGGATGAGCTGCTGCCCGAAAGTAGCCCAGGGTTTGATTTCAGGAAGGCTGTCCAGGCCTGAGCGTCAAAATCATGTGGTATGAGATTGCTTAATTCGCGGTACTTTTGCATACTCTCAAGATATTCACTCTGGAGAACAGTTGGCACAGGGACGAGACGGAGCTTGACCTCAAGGGTCTCCTGTGCACCTCTAGCAAATAACCCAGTGTTTTTGCAAACTCGTCCCGTGACAATGGTCTTGGATTGGTGTGCGGGGGCATTTGGCGTTGGTGAGGCAGAGGCCAAAACCCAGGAGAGCATTCCCTGACCGACCAAGGGAGTTTCATATTCAGAATAGTCGTACGCGTAGACTGTATAATCTCGTCCGAGCTTTGCAACCAATTCAGGGCTAAGAGGCGTGTTAGAAAAATTTTTTTTTTCTCCCAAAGAGAGGACACGCCATTGCCTTACCTTGCAGAGACAATAGTTTGAATGCAAGTTTTTAGCTCAATCACGCCAACCTGTGTTGTTTCATCAAGATAGGCAGTTTGGATATCTAAAATATGCGGCCACCTGGCAAGACAGTTGGTTTTGCTTTCGTTATCGAACGTGTAGAGGACCTTTACTATAGAGAAGATTAGTATTCACGAATTAGTTCTTGGGCCACCCGGGTATGCTTACGCCTCATAGGCCGAACAGAGATTCCTTCCTCGTTTTCCATTTTCTGACTGCAAAGTGGGGTATCAGAAGGAGTCACAGAAAAGTAAGGCGAAGACAACTGTTCTCTGGTGTTGTCTGTTTGCAAGGTTGTATGTCGAGGAAGCTAGAGGGTTCAAGGTAGCAGTCGACGGGTGCAATAGAAACGAATCGATAGCCTCAGTGAATGAGTCACTGCATAAGTTTGATGTTTGTGCCTGGTAGTCTGGCAGGCTTCATAACGTGAGGACTGCAGCGAAGTGTAAATATGGCAATGTCAGGATTGGCTAGAGTTGCAGTAATAGGAACATGTATCTAATGAGAACGAAGACCAAAAAGACAAATGAAAAAAATGGAAGCAACCCCTTCAATGGCCTCCCTCTCACGCGAGCTCAGCCTAGCAACCGCGTGTGTGTGGGAGAGAGGGAGAAGAAGAGGAAGAGCAGGGAGGCGTTGGAGGCGGAGAAGAAGAGGTTGGAGTTAGAGACGATCGAAAGTCGTGAAGCCAAACGCGATATTCGAGATTGCTGACCTAAGCGCGCGTGAATGGGAAGCAGATTTCCTGATACGGACTAGTGACGCGCCAGGTCCAACGCGCCTTCCGGTTTGGAAAAATAAGCCGCCGACGCGTGACACGCTAACCAGAATCGGTCATCAAAGCTTGGCAATTACTTAATAACCATCACGTGATATAAGAAAGCTTTAGGGCTTGTTGACTTTTTTTGCTGCGAAGATGCAGGAGAAAGACGAACGCAAAGAAGAAGAACCCGAAGCACGGAAAGACGTCGACACGAAGGAGCGTACCGTTGCTGCCCTTTTATAGCTTTCCCCAAGATGTCCGACACCAAGATTCAGTAAGCAGGCTCCCATTCACTGTCGAATCAGATGACTCAACCGGTCTTCCCCCCGCGCAATAGACGGCCTTGCTGCTACAGCGCATTGCCGCATACCTGCTAACATCTGGCTCTTGTTCTCTAGAGATCTGCTTAACAAGCCTCGCAGCGAGCTGACGTACGTTCCATTGGTCCTTTGAATGTCCCAAACTATCCTTCCCGTCAAACTTGAAGCTATCGCCAACCTCAACCACACCACAGCCGGACAACCACTTATTGCTTTGCTCTTGGCATCCGAACCCGTTCCAGCTCACTTTGTTCCTCGCGCAATAAATTAATAATGGTGGTGGGCGATGAGTTAACCTAGTACGCGCTATAGTGAATACGAAGTCTCTGTTCTCGAAGAACATGAGCTCACCACCGGTCCGCTTTCAATCCTCCAGACAGCTACCCGTGCCCACTCGCAAGTCTTGATCTCATGTCGGAACAACCGCAAGCTACTTGCGCGTGTAAAGGCTTTTGACCGTCACTGTAACATGGTACTAGAGAACGTCAAGGAGATGTGGACTGAGAAGCCCAAGGGTGGCAAGGGCAAAGGCGTCAATAAAGATCGCTTCATCAGCAAGATGTATGTCTACGCAAAGTTTGCCCGGACCTTCCCTTCTCACCGTATATGCGACGACACTATACTGACTCGACCATCCAGGTTCTTGAGAGGCGATTCAGTTATCCTGGTACTTTTGAGTTGAGCTTCGTTTTGGTTTTTTCTTAGCTCTACACTACGCGGTCCGCACACATTCGCCAATCTGTCACCTCCGTATACGACTTAGACTCCCGCCTACTTAGATCTCTCCACCCCAAAGCGGTAATCATGATGCAACAAATCGCTCTGGAGTCGCGGGAGACAGGCCTGGCCCGTGAAGTGATGCCTTGCTTCCATATTAAAGCTATGTCATGGAAGTCACTAATCCAGCATGTCGGCGTCTTTGGCGTTTCTTGTTTCCCTCCTTTCCTCCTCAAAATCCATACCGTTTTGATTCGCGATTTTCTTTTTCACATGGAGTCCGTGGTGGGATGGACCGGATATTCTGCACCGGCCCTTTGTTACACTTGGCGGAAGGTTAGGGTTTATGTGATATAGTAGCCCTGGAGAAGATACAAAATCCCCAGAATATGATGAAACATACAGCCTTGATTATTAAAAGGCGAACTGAACATTGCGACTCTTTTCCTTTCGCACCTTATTTGAGCCTTCACCTTGCGGCTCAGCTAGTCACGTGCTACGTCAGAGCAGATATGCCCCCCTTCCCTAAGTTTGTAAGACGGAGTTCTCAAGAGTATTAATATAGAGGTGGTATATCGGCATTATATACATGCGAAAAACGGAGGTACTAAAGATTGATTCAAACAGTAACGCCAGAAAAATGAGAGAAATGAGGAGGTGGGGAGGGGGGGTTAAAGGGACAGGGGAATGACCCAAATTAACTTAGATATTAGTCGCCATATTATTTACTAGATATTATACCCAAAATGAAATTGCAAAAGGAAACGCCAAAAGAAAGAAGTATAGATGGGATCATATACCCTCAGCTATACCGTTCAGGAACTCACTGAGACCATACGCACCAGGGTCAGGGATCTTGCCAACCCACTCGTCCTCACCACCAACGTACACAGCCCTTCCAAGGCTGGCTTTCATCATCTTGGTAGCCTCAGCGCCCTGGCTCGCTGCCTCAGCGGCTTTTCGGATATCTTCAGTTTCAATCAAGGTGTTGATGAAAGGTGACAATGCGTCCATAAGTGTTCGGTCACCAGGTTGGGCAGGCGTGTATTTGGCCAAGGCTTTGAGGGAGTGCTGGAGCGCATTAGCCCATATGGTTGATGTTACTGACATCGGGGTAGACTTGTCTTGTGCACGGAGGCCGTGGGCAAGCGCATTAAGGAATATGGCGTAGATGGCACCGCTGGTGCCGTCCATGGTGTTTTCGACGACGTCAATAATGCGATGCAAGGTCGCAAGAACGTCGGGAGTGAGGGGCGTGGAGGAGTCATTGATTTCTTTGAGAATGGCTTCTGCACCGCGCTGGAGCCCAATTCCACAGTCACCGTCTCCGACTATAGTGTCATAGCGGGTGACAAGGGGTTCCGCCTTAATAACTCGGTCAAGTCCCGAGGAAAGAACCTTTTTGAGGATGGCAGGATCAACTGGTATAACCGAGTTAGCTGGGTCCTACGTATAGTTAGATGCAGCTAGGGAGGAGGTACATACGGGTGAGGTTTGAGGGCTTTTCGACGGCACGGGGGCTGCTTGCTGACTCGAAGGAGGCGGATGTCTGATTGTCCCAAGTGGAGGTTTGGATTGGGGCAGCCCAGCCAACTGCCTCCGAGGGAGCATCTAGTAGTTCGAGAAACGATTTGCCTGCACCCAGTCCGGTGTCCGCAAGACGGAGGAGAGAGATACTAAAACCCATGCCATTGAGACTGGTCAAGAACGTGCCCTGGATCGTCCTCACAGGCTTAATTTTGTAATCTCTTTCTAACTGAAGGACTACTTCAGCGGTAAGGGCAGACAACTCTAGTGTGCTCACGCCTCCTAGGTTGTTGATGAGAAGGACAAACCTGTCCGAGGAGCTGTACTTGAGGAAGGCTCGCTCCTTATCATTTTGGTCAAGCATCTGCTTGAGCATGGTCTGTATCATTTCTTCTGCAGTGACCTTCATACGGTGGGAGCCAGGCTCGTTATGAATGCCCATACCGACCTCTACCTCACCGTGGGGCACCAGGTCGTCTGAATTCGGGTCCGGCATGTCTCGGCCTGGGACATGGACATGTTCCAGAGAAGAGCCAACGGAGACAAGGTTGTTATTGGCAAGTTGAGCTGTAGCATAAACCTCTTCCAGAGATGCACTTAACACACACATATATGTATTAGCATCGAATCAGATATGCAGGATTGAAAGAGAGGGATCAACACTCACCCTGTCTCAGCAAGAGCACCGACGATCTTCAGAACCATGACACCACCACCAATTCCTCTTCTGCCAACCTTTCCGCCCTTCTCACGACCAACACCGACGTCATCACTGATAGCGAAGAATTCGGTCTTGATGCCCGCTGCGTTGCCCTTTTCAGCAGCAAGTCCAAAATTCATGACGTCACCCGTATAGTTCATGACAATGACAAGGACGCCCTTGGAGCCGTCAACTCGTTGTAGCAGGGCCCTCCTGACCTGCTCGGCAGACGGAGAAGCAAAGATGGTGCCGGCCACCGACGCCGTTAGCATCCCCTTGCCTACAAAGCCGGCAAAGGCAGGTTCGTGTCCGGAGCCACCACCAGAAATGATGGACACCTTGGACTCGGTATCCTTGCATGGTCGACGGTAAATGATCTTGTTCTGCCTGTCGAAGGCCAGGGAAGGGTTGGTGAGGGTGAGGGAGTGAAGGGCCGAATTGACCAGGTGAGTTGGGTCCGAGAAGAAGTGTTTAGCTAGAGAGGCCGTCAGCATAGATCCTGGACACGCTCCTTGCAGAGCAAGTTACCAGCCTACTTACTCTGCATTGTGATGGCGGTATGGCTTTCCCTCTTGCTGTAGGACGCTCTGCCTATGGACGAGTTGTCTGGCTGTTTGCGCAATCTGACGGGTGCTATCTGACAATCAGACGGGGTTCTCACAGAGTAAAACGACAGATACAACTGCTCAGGAGTAAGAATATAGTACAGAGAAGAAGACTGGTGTGCCTGGAGGAGGAGGAGGAGGAGGAGGAGGAGAAAGAAGAGCGCGAATGTGCTGGTGACCGGCTGACCTTTGTAGTGCTGGCCTGATACATACGACCCGGCCGTCGGGGCGAGGCCCGACAAGCCAGGAGGGGCAACCAGCTGCCGGCGGCCATAGTTAGCATCAGGACAGCGCAAGCTTCGGGTGGGACAAGCCAAGGTACATGCGACTCCGGTCGAGGAACATGCTTCGACTGCTGCGGGATCTAAAAGGAAAAAAAAAAAAAAAAAAAAAAAAAAAAAAAGGTAGAAGAGAGCGTGATGCGTTGGAGGAAAAAGCAACGATGAGACGAGAGCTGTTGGTTCGGTGGCGGGTGGGCCTGTTACAGCGCTTCGGGAAAAACTCCCAGCTAACGAACAGCTAGTCAGGAGCTCTAGTTAGCCGGTTAGACGGCGGGTTCAACTAGCTAACTAACTACCCCGGACTGACGTCGAGCCGAGCAAGCATGTTACTAACCATGTCGGCCCAGGGCATTATCAGGGCCAGCTATGATGCTCCGGCGCCCGCTGGCAGCACCGCCGGCTGGGTGCCTGGCCACGCCGGACAGCAGCGCAGGCCTTCGACCTCTTCTCATCTCATGCCAGCGCCTTGCCCGGGGCGTTCATGGCTTTCAGCGCTGGGCAGTGTTGGGCGTCGGCCGGCGGCTGTCCCGGCTTACCGGATCGGGAAGTGCCGGTGATTTCGGCTTCTAGAGCTGTTCAGGAGCTTTGTAGGTAGAAGAAAAAGAAAAAGTCGGCCGAACATCGCAGCTTGATGGCGGGTGCTCGTCCAGTCAGTTGGCTGGATGGGCCATGGCAACAAGAGAAGATGGAGACTAGTTCTTGAGAAAATAACAAATATGGCCCTGGAGGGAGAAGCTTGATTGATCATCTGATGCTTCGAGATCCAGCTGATATTGCGTCGCATTTAGTATACATATAATACTTCAAAGGCCTGGACCGGCGGCATCACGTAAGTCACTAAATATAGGAGAAAGGCGTTGTGGAGGTAGCTGAGAGAGTTTAAGTCAACGAGCGTATATTATTATTCGTGAGATGAAAAAAAAAGTGCATGTCTTTCCCCCGTAGAACTCCGCTCAAAATGCATCAAAAGAGGGTGGTTTGTCATTCTTGGATGTTTTTATTTTTCTTTATTTCTTTTCTTTGGCCCATTCGTGTCGTTTCTTGGAAAGTCGTAGGAGATGGTGATCAATTTTTTTGTTTTTTTATTTATTTTTGAACAAGCTGTGTTTGGTCTAGGCAATATACTTGTACCGGTTGTTATCTTCTCGTTCAATGTAGTCCTTCTCAATGAGCCTGGCATACACGTGTCAGCAAGGCATTTTCTATTATTGTCAGTCAGCAGAGTGTTCGAGGCTTACTTGTCAATATTTTTCTTGATGTCGCCAAGCTCGAGCTGACCGCGATTCTTGGTTGCTTTGATTACTTCAGCTACCAGGTCTGAATGCGTAATGGTCTTGCGGCTTTTCATTATGCGTACGATCGCGGCCTGTGTCTCAAAGTGTCGGTCTGCGGCAACACGCTCGTGTGTCGTCTTGTTCTCCTGTTTGGTTTCCTTCAGCTGGATCTGGTTGATCTTGATCCGCATCTTTTGGTCCTCAAACTTGGCATTGTACGCAAACACGTCTCCTTCGTTGACCTCTTTGCCTTTGGGCTTTTTAAGGAGAACGCGGTATTTAGCACATGCTAGGGACTGTAGTGTTCTCTTCAGCTCCACATCCGCTACGAGAAGGAAACTATTGTTAGCATTTGAACGATGTTGTGGTCCACCTGAGCTACCCGGGCCAAACGGGAAACAAGAGGGAGAAAAGAAGAGCACAAAAGCTTACAAAGACCAGACGCCTTTTTGATAACATCGTACGATAGCGTTTCGGAACCGGCAACGTCGTTGAATAGGAGCAGTACGATGGCTTGGAACGAGCTCACAACCAATTCCTTGTCCCCAAGCGGGAACCGTGCTTTCAACTGACAATGGGCGAGGGTGTGCTTCCAGTGCAGCCTTCGTCCGCTGTATTTGTTATTATAAAATTCCTCAAAGTTGTTGATGGCTTGAGATATCGAGTCTGGTATGTTAACGGGCACATCCGGGTAACTCGGCCAGGCAGTTGCAGATATGACATTAACATTGAGATCAATCTTGGGCCGTTCGTTCTTCTCCCGCAGCAAGGCGTTATAGGAGGCCATTTCGTCCCGTGCAAGGTCCATGTCTTTAAACATGGTCTCCAAATTGTGGGTGAAATTGGAGCCGCACTCTGCGTTCTTCTGTGTTAGCCAAGCCCCAAATGCACAATGCATCGAGGCGATACATACCTGACTTGAGCCTTGAGAGCATGCTCTTCTCCGCTTCATCACTGGCACTCCTACCCATCAGGAGTCTTCTCGCGAGGTCGTTCTTATAGAACGCTTCGAACACGGCTTTGCCATGCACGAATCGGAAGAGGTCCAAGACTTGATCGAGCTGTTTATTGATTTCTGCATCCTCATCGGTAAGACTGGAGTTGCCGGTGATGTCCTCAACTGGACGATTCTGAAGTGCTCTCACTCCTCCCTTGAGCAACAGGTCGACGTGCTTTGCAATCATCTCACCGGGTTTGGGGTTGTCTGTCCCCCAGTTAGAATCGGTCTTCTTATGCTGGTTAATAAAAGTTTCAAACGATTCACGAAGAGTATGGCCAAGTTGTTCATGATTATGAAACGAAAATCTCCAGATATGATCTAGGCTTTGCTTAAAAGCAAGTAGTCTAGTGACCATCTCGGCCTCACGCGCTTCATCAAAGACAATAGAGGAACCCTGTTGGACGATATATTTACTAAACGCAGACTTTACATCCACGCCCATGCCCTTTCGTTCAAGCATGGAGAATAACCGTTCCAGAGCGGTGGCATTGTTTGCTCGGAGAAGACTAATGATATCAGCCTCTTGGAGAAGAAACTGTTTTTGATTAGCCATCAGATTATGATCGAGAAGCTCGGCCAACTTCTGTTTGGTCCCTCTGTCGAATGAGAGAAGGTCACACCGAGCCATCTCCCGCTCAATGAGCCGATACGACTTTTCCACATAGCTTGCCAAGTCGTCTTCAGCTACATGGGTTGCTGCCCAATTTCTATAATATGCCGCTGAATTCTCAAGCATTGATGGCTCAAATTGACTGGTGTAAACCTTTAAGTCGTGGAATAGCTTGATAGAACTTCTTAACAGGGTGGGGTCGGCATAACTATCCTCCAGTCTATCCAGCTCGATCAGAAGACATGCTCCCTTAAACACCTTGGATTTCAGAGTCTCGTCAGAAAACACCGATGAGCGGAACTGAAGAAGACCCATCTCGTATATAACGGGATTGTTGGGAGAATGCAGGAGAAAGGACTGATCTAGATAGTAGAAAATGGACCGAACCGTCACCTAAGCAAATGGTCAGTCAAAGTGGTTATTCTTCCATAATTTGTGCTGGACGAGGTATAGAAGGACTCACAAGTCGCGCATTCCACTGTGTCCATGCAGCTTCCACCGCCCGTAGTATCCCGGCCTCATCTCCGGATGTAGATTTGGCAAGTAGTGATTCCATGACCGTCCCTGATATATGTTCCATGCAACGGTCCTTGAGATTTTTCGCCAGATTTGGTGCTCTTCCCTGCCTGCACACATGCTCCACACCTCTGTATAGCTCCTCCAAGGAATACGGAAGCTTCTCATGGTTGAATATTGCCGTAAGAGCCGAGTCCAGCTGTGACCACACTTTTTCAAAATAAAGCTGTTGATCGAGTTTGGGAGTGTCGCGCAGATTCTTGACTTTGAGTGTCTTTGCACCTGTGTGGGGTGTAAAGCTGCTTGGATTGGAAGAATTGAACGGTCTTGTCCTCGCCAGCGGCGCTCGGTTGTCGGCGCGAGCGAATCCAAACGCACTTCCATTACTCCCCTTGCCGTCCGAGCTGGTGAACTTATACATCTTGTCGACAGTGATGGGCGCTAGCTCTTCGGACGAGGTTTCGCGGCCAGGATCGCATTCGTTGCGCCGTAGCCGCTTGTTGGACTGTGATGGAGGGGGCGCCTGCTTGTGGTTCGTGCTGTGGTAGTCTCTGCTAAAAAGATCCGGAATTGTCCGCTGCTTCTGTTCCTGCTCTTCTTGCGATTCGTCTCGGCTTGAGTCTTTGTGTTTCCTTTTACCCATTTGTTTGCGGTTCCCGCCAGAGGAGGGAGTAGGCATTAAGTTTCATCGATATGAGGTAGCCCAGCGGTGGGAGAGGACAAGCGCGGCCGGGCAGGACAAGCGTGAGAGAGAAGGGTGCTGAGCAGCAGGATAGAATCCTAGCCAACTGCGACCTGCTGGCTGCTTCGCATGCCCGTGGAACAGTGGCCTGGTGGAGGAGGATGGGAGGCAGACGGCGGCGATGAAGACGAAAGTTGTTTGCTTAGAAAGTCGAGCCAGGCCGGCGACAGCACGTGAAGTCGTGGCTCCTTTGGGCAACCAAACACGACAAACACGTAGTTAGGTAGTTAACTAGTTAGTTTAATTTCTTCCTTCCGCGACCTCAGAAATAAAATAAATAGGGAACGATCAACGGGACAACCAGGCTTCACGCTTTTCTTTTTTTTATTTCTTTTACCCTCGTATGTTATCATTGGTCCTGTTTATAGACACATAAACTGAGCGCCCTTCATGACTCTAAAGCTACAGACAAAAAAAAAAAAAAAAAAAAACGAAAACACAACGCGCGGTGGAATCAAAAATAAAGAAAATCCAGTGATATCGTGTTACTCCGTACTAGGCATCGCATAGAAACTGCAATAGCCCCAGAAGATTACGAGAAGAATTTTGGTTTTGACGTGATGCTGGACTGGCTGTCTTCGTACTATTCAGAAGTTTGTAAGTACGATGCCTCTGGTGCATGAGGATGGTGTGGGTGGATGGGGAAGAGACGGAGGAGAGGGAATGCACTTACGTCCAGAAAGTCGACAGAGGCAATCAATGCAGTGTACGATTTGGCCAGATTGTCCAGGCATTTTTTCATGCTAGGGTCATCTGAACTTCCACTCTTTGCGCATCGCTTGAATATGCCAACCATGCTTTGTCTGTTTTCGGAGAGGAATGCTCTCGTCTGGTCACAGATGGCCTGATTATGCAGCCCTCTAGAGAAGATAGTGGACACAATCACTTGGAGAACTGACAAAAGCAGTTCATAGTATCGCTGAAGTGCGTCACTGTTGTCGATATCTAATAAAAACTCCTGGTTAATAAAGACGGTGACTGGTACTCGGATCAAGAGGTGAAATTTGCCTTACCTATGCCTATATCTGGATCAGCAGAAAATAGCTGTGATTCCTTCACAGCCTGGAATAAACCAGCATCTAGAAGCTGCGATGCACCAGCCTTCGTCTGTGAAAGTTGTTGGAGAAGTGATAATTGGGACTCGTAGAACAGCAACAGCTGTGCGGTATCTAGATAGCAGGCCGTAAGTGAAACAGCCCTGTTTATGGAGCAGAAAATCAGAAGCGTACCTGTAGCTTTGGCATTTCGGAACTCCGAAGGCATTACCCTCAATACGTCTAGGAACATTCCAAGATAATTGGAGTGGGTAATCAAGTTGACCAGGAGGGAAGAATTTCTCTGCTGGTCAAGGATCCCTAAGAGGTTTAGCAACACCAGGGCAGAGACTCTGCAACTCTCGCTGCTGCCATACGCATCATCGCAGATAGTTTCCATGAGTGTAGGCCCTGCAGCCTTGACGGTGCTGTGCGCATGCTCCTTGAATCGGTCATCTGTTGAACTAGATGCCGTAATCCGGGCGAGGTGTTTCGAGGATATTTGATATAGAGATTCTCGGAGTGTGATGTTGTCGGACGTCTGCGGGATGCCGCTTGTGCAGACTTGGAACAAGTAGTCCAATCTCTCATCGATCACATCCCCATTTGTATCGGTGGGTATCTTATCAAGCTTGTCAATGAGAGTCTCACCGAGGTGGGCCAATTCAATAGCTTCCGCTGGGGTTTCGACTATTGATGACTCAAACTTTGGTAGTATCAGTTGCAGTGTTTGCTGAATGAAGGAAGCCATGTATGTAGGGTCCATTTTACAAGTGACAGTAATGATGGTCACTAGCTCTGTCCACGCCTTTAAGGCAACGAACCGATTAAATTGAACATAACGGAATTCGTTAGTAGCACTTAAAAATAGTAAAAGTTTCTCCTTTTCAGCCATGATTTGCTCCTCGTTTTGTGATGTCACTACACCATCGGCAACGAGATCCTCTTTCACCAGCTGAAGGAGTTCTTGTAGTGCTTCAATGTCATAAAGCACAACCACCCCGTTTTCCTCCGTCTTCACGCAACTTTCAACGTTGACGCTACCAAAGAACTGCAATTCAGGCCATGTATAAGAAAAGTCGATATCAATATCAGCAAAATCAAAAAGATCAAACAAAGAGGGATGTTCGACGCTCTGGTCACCTTCGACTGATGTTGTGCCCAGAATTGTCCGTAAAGTATCCCTCTGGACAGATGGAGAGCCTTGCTTATACACAGCCCGCACCTCTGTCGTTGCATATTCATAAAGTAGAGTGCGGAGCATGAGCAGCTCAGATAGCGAGCTGGGCGACGATGACAGCCAGAAATCAGGCTCGTTTGTTCGGAAGTCGTCCCATAACGTCTCTGCGGTAACAACTGGTTGAGACATGAAGAGCACTGGTAAAAGTTGACCTGCGCGGAGATGCGGTAAAGTAAGATTAGATGAAAGAGGTGAGGCCCACAGGTTCAGTAAAACTTGGAAACCCAAACGTCTTAGATGTATCATCCAGGAAATAACGGCCCCATCCATTCCAAGAGGATAAGCCTTAACAAACTCGAGTATAGAGTGTAAAAGGGAGATCCCATTTTCAAACAAGCCATCTGGTGGGATGTCGAGGGTATTACCAAGGCAGGAGAAACCAAGAAGGAGATGAGCAATTGTTGGCTTCTCAGGAGACATCTTGAGGCACTTATCCAGTAGCTGAAGTAGTCCCATCTTAATAAGGTATCCTGATGATTCTGGACCACTCTCTAGTTCCCGAATATCTACATCTATTTGGGAGGCTAGTGATCGGGCTACTCGGTCTGCTTCAACATTGGAGTTCAACTGTTCAACCATCTGGTTTGTAGATTGCCATCGAGACGAGATGTTTGAAGATTTGTTTAACTTTCTGGAAGCTGACAGCTTTTCCAAAAGAGCCAGTGAAGTTAGTGTCAGTTGAGGATGCCCCGTCCCGCAATAAAGACATAGGTCGGAAATCAACCCTAAGTTATCAATAACACAGTCTTCAAAGGATGCAAGGGTAGAATTGGCGATGTTGAAAGAAGAGTCTTGCCCGGAGCTTTTGATTATTGGTCGAACAATATTGAAGTATGTGGGCTGGTGGTCGAGAATTAGATTCATGATATCAATACTCCGGACCAAGCTGGAAATCAGTATGGAGTCTGAAGAAGCCTTGGACACCCCGTCTGCATCTCTGTGGGAGCAAGAAAATAAGACTCTGAGCACATCTTCGTTAAAAAGCCATTCCATAACACGTGAAAATGGATGTAATCGAAGGTATGTTGAGAATGTCACTTTCCAGTTTGGCTGTGCGGATATTGACGGCTGACTGACAATGCTAATAAGATTCTCGTTGAAGGACTCTAGAGCGGTAGCAGCAAAATTCATGCAATTCCACTGCAAGAGATGTGACTCCTTGTCTTCAGCCATAACACTTCTGTTTGCGAAAGCCTGGCCCATTACATAATCGACGTAAGGCTCAATACCAGGCATTCGGTACGTGGAGCCCAACGACTCAGGGAATGGCAGGGTCAATTGTGAATCTAATGAATCGGATACAGGGCCGACCAGCTGGTTAAGCATTTCAACAAACGCATTCATCTGATCAAAGCTCTCTGTGATGCGTTGGAAAGCATGCCGCTCGTTCCGTACTTGTGGGCTAGACAAGGGCGGTAGCGGAGAAAGTGCCAGTGGAAGGGAGCCTGAGCCAGAGATACAGTTGTCCAGAGAAGTCCACATTTCATTTGAATGGGCTGACGTCCGGTCTATCATTAAACATCGCAGAGTAACAAAGATAGCTGCCCGAAGATGCTGAGGGATTGACGCACCGCAAAGAGTGAGAAGTACTGAGATCAAGTTGGTGGTTTGATGTTGCAGAATCCATTCACGAATTTTACTATTCTCCCGGGACAGATGGCTGATGAGACGTAGGTAGCTGGTAAGCATAATTGGGCTCTCGGGCTCCTCAATATCTGGGACTTCCAATTTACGGAGGCGTAGTGTGGAAGACTGGGTCGTCGAGGGGCGCTCAGTAATTCTCACAGCATAGAGTTGAATTTCGGCGAACATTTGTGTCCAGTTCATAGAAGCCGACCTTCGAAACTTTGCAGAAGATAGAGAATCCTCATCAATGAGGAATTTATGTGCCGCGGCCGAGTTCTCTTCCCCACCTGAAATAGAGCATAACATCTCGCAAAATGCACTGGCCCGGGGAACAGTTTGGCGTTTCGATACCCATTGAAGGAATCCGTATAAATTACCGTCAGGGTCCAACCAAAACTCTTGAGCAGCATCATTCCTGCCGTCGAAGGAGAACGCAATTATAGTTAGTAAACATTCTAAATGCATGCGAACCTCTACGGGACCCCGGTGGAGATTTGGGGAAACTGAGTCCCTGAGCGCAGTAATCTGATCCAATCGCTGGGTATCTTCTTCCGACTTCAGCATTCGGATAGCATCGGGCATGTTTGCAATCAGAGACTCGGTGAAGCCTTCGATACTCTCCATGAGTAAAGAATGGAAATATGGCGAGGGAGCGTCGGGTTCGAGAGTCAGACGGGCCGCATCCTTTAGTAAGAGTGTAACCAGCTCGTTCCTTTCTGCATTTTTCCATTCATCCAAACCAACTCCAGCGCAAATGCTTAGAATAAAGTGAAAACCACCGTCCTCGAGGGCAGCGAGAAGTGATTTTGATAGCTTGGCGGACTCTTCGGCAGAATTTAAACCTTGAATCGGTCCAGCCGCCGTGCTATCAAAGTACCAGCCACTATACTCCGCTAGCCAAAAGACTATGGCGGCAGCGTGAAACTGGGGGAGTACCCAGCCTTGGGAATCCTTTGACTCAACAATCACTTTGTGTAAGGATCTTGCGTCTTCAATCCCCTGACCCTCCGATGAGCCATATTGGGAGGCCGCGGTTATGATTGAGGGGACATAATGGACGAGTAGCATGTCAAATTTGTCGACCTTTTTCGTTTTTTCCATGAGTTTGCGGAAGTCTTCAGAGCTTGTGTAGGTGCCTTTGAAGAGGTAGGACACGATGGCTCCTAAAGATTCATGCTGTTTCCCAAGACTTTGCTTTTGATATTCAATAACTTCAAGAATATCAGCTTCCTGAGACTGCCCAACAATTGATGCCTTTTGTATCTGTTCCCCCAAAAGAACCAACCACTTTTCGATGTCTGTCATCGCGTCCATGCATTTCCTAGCAAATAGCGAGCCATTGCGTAAAGGGCCATTCTGGATTTCAAGTACCGATGCAACATATTCCTTCATTAAGAGCTGAGTTTCTTCCCGTTCTACCTCAAAAGACTCGTGAAGGATGAGCCTCAGGCACTCTAGAACGAACTCTCTTTGTTCGTGAAAACGGATTATAGAGCTGACGATTGGCGATCGATCTAGCTTCTTAGAATCGGATTGTGCACGAATATAATAGCGCGCAGCCTCAATTTCATCGACGTCCAAAGCATCTGCCACCTGCAATACTTCTTGCTGGAACTCCACGTTGACCTCATATTCGACATCGTCAAGCTTAATTTTGCCTAAAGAAAGCAAGCATCAGCAAAGAGCCGGCAGCATTAGTGTCGCAACGCCTATCCAACCCCAAGATGCCTACCTGAAAGAACAGTCTTTCTGCTGTCGTTGTTTTTGGCTGGCTTGTCTAACAGCCTGCGGAAGTCCTCAAGTGTTGCTTCCAACTCGGCCACAAGCCTCTCTGCATTGGGAAGAGCAAACCTGGACAAGGCTGACAGGTCCTGATATAGGCCCCGTAAGTTGTTAGAGCTCTCATCGCCCTCCATTATGAACTCCGCGTGTCGTTGCTGAGGTCCAGGGCGTCCTTTTTTCCAATGTTATTTATTCTTGAAGCAGAGAGATCAAAGTAAGTTTAACTTACTTGAAGATTAGGGACAGCAACCAAACGCGACAAACACGCCAAGGCCGTTTAACTAGACGGGCCAAGCCTAAAAAAGAAAACAGGACGACGTGCGAGGCACAACGCGAACTAGCTAGTAGTTAGTCACCTAATTATTAGCTACACAGCTGCACCAGCGGCTACATTATTAGTTGATTGGAATTGACATGGACGAAATTCTCGCACCGAGTTTTTTCTGAAGCTCAACTTCTTAATATTAACAGCTTTGGACTGCATTGAAAACAAACGAATGAAATGTCGGCCTGCTGGGGATACCACTCATTAATTATACCTATGAGTTGAGAGCGCCATCATGGGAGAAGTTAGTGTTGATCAGGCAGTCAATTTGATATCCTCTGGGAGGCTCAAAGATCGGATAGATGGACTTGAAGGTGACACCCCAGTTTGTCATCCGGTGTTAATTGACTGACTAACTTTTTGTGTAGACCTCAAACACATCTTGCTTCAAAACAGGCGCTCTCCTAGACTGTATGTTAAAAAAACGCCAGCAGCTGGGTCCTGTAACCGCTTGTGATGACTTACGCTTATCTATAGGGGCTCTTTGAACGATAAAGTATATCACGGTATCTTTGAGACTCTTTTCCGATTTATTGCTATTGAGAAATCGACGTTCAGTAAAGCCACTCGAGCTGTCTCCAAAACGCAAGCAGCAAGCAGACTGGCAAAATGCGCTGGTGTTATTAGAACTGCAGCTGAAGTCTCCCTACGTCGGATTAGGACAAAAACTGTGATTGCTCTTGTTAACCATGTTATTGATTCATTGACAATCCCTGGGGAAGGGTTATGGGAATCTCTAAATGCAGATTACATAAAAACCCTGCGGGCGATTCTACAATACCCACCCCATGTTGAACATCTTTCCAAAGATGTCTGGTGTGATCTGCTAGAATTTTGCCTCCAGGGCCTTGGACTTTCAGGGGATAGTAACTCGCTACAGATGAGCATCCGGCGAGGCCGATCCATACCACCAGAAGAGTTCAGCCAGAGTAGCCGTTCAACTCCCCACCCAACATCGGCACAATCCTCCTACCCATCATCTAAACAAGATTCAAGGGGCAGCTCTGAGGATCTTGAAGTCTGCATACAGCTGTTAGTATCTTGTCCAGGTATGCCAGTGCTCGAGAATGCACCGAAACTATTTCATAATCTTTCAAAATATATAGCTTCACTAAATCCAATGGGAAGCGCACCCCATGCAGCTTTCACTGCTCTTAACACGACTCTCTCTATCGCTATCTTGGAGAACATTACTCTTGTTCAAGATACCCTTTGCGCCGTGATACCTACCATTAGAAGGTATTGGTCTACAAAGTCTGTTGTGCTCAAAGAGGAGATGCTAGCTACCCTTCTTATAGGAAAAGAAATCCTATGCAGAAGAGGCCAAGCTCTCCAGCCAGAATTAGACATCGAAATTATCCAAGGTATCGTAGACCGGTTGCATTCGGAATACGTTCGACTTCCTGAGAGAGAGGCCCTGCAGGTTGACGATTTAATTTTCTCCCTCCACAACATTCCTACGCATGTTGGCCCTCAGTTTATCTCACCAAATACAGGAGTCTCGAAAGTCATGCAGAATTGGACAATTTTGTCACTCATAGCGGCATTCTCAAGGCTTATTGACAATTATCACTCTCGCGAGAAACGTGACTTGGCGGAAGAAAAGTCCTTGAATAAAAAGCAGCATCTTCTTTCTAGAATTGATGATATTCTGATGGATGCTTCAAGACCTACTGGGAATAATCGTATTTGTGCGTTACAACTCATACCATTCATTGTATCAGAAACAGAGCCAGAAGTCGGATCCCTCTCAACACTCCTTGGGCAACTAATTAAAAATACCCTCGATGACAATGTTGTGGTCGCTTCTTGGAGTATTGTTGCAATTACAAGGTAAGTTGTCCTATTATAGCTTGTCAGTATTGCACTATTAACTCGCGTACGCAGTCTTACTTTCTGCCGGCACGCCAAATCTGATCAGATCAAGGAAACTTGGCTTCAAGCATGGGAATTAGGTGTACGAAATATATCCTCTCCAGCTATCTCACGAGCCGTCTGTCATTTTATGGCTGTATCTATTCACTCTAAGCTGTTAAGCTACTCGGATATTGCTCGAACCCTCGATTCCCTGGTGTCTTCCGCAGACATGAACGGTCCTGCCAACCTCAACGATTCGTCCTTGAATCTTTGGGTCAATGTTTTAGAACTGTGGTCGGAGGTAAATGCTACACAGAGCCAAAGCCTTGTTAAACAAGCTTGTGGGTGGCTAAAAAATAAATGGGTTCTAGGTATAGTATCTACATTGTCTAATTAATGGATCAATGCTAATTTTCGACGAATACTACAGTCCCGACGGACAGGGTTCAAACCAGCCATATGGCAACTTTTGCTCGGCCCCTTCCTCTCCTTGGCATGTTATTGTCATGTTTTGGAGCGTCCATACCGAACCCAGATTTATCCTCTGCAGGCCCAGTAAATCGCATCTCTAGGGTTTGGATGCATTTACAACATCATGCAAAAATTCTCGATTACTTAACACTCACGGACAAGAAAACAACTGTCCATCCAGGAACAGTTAATGTACCAGTCTATGTCGCTACTAGACACCACCCTTCCGAGACTCTGGTTCTTGACCTCTTACAGTATAAAATTGATACCTTTCATCAGGTGTGGGCTGCTCTCTGCACTGATAAGGGGCATCATATCACTGTGGAGATTATCCAAGTCCTTACCTCTCTATGCGTCGTCTCTATAATCTTGATGGAGTTCATACCGCAATCATTAAGGAGCCAGCAAACCCAAGATTCCGTTCTTAAACTTTGGACGAGTTTATGTGATAAATTTTCCAAGGATGAGGAGCACCTAAATACATGTTTAGAGGTGTTAGCTCCTATTGTTCTCTCGTTAAAAGCTCCATTTGACTCGAAGGATATCATTTTGCGTGGCCTAGTCCGGATGAGTGCGCTACTCGTCCCTTTACTGGAAAGAGATAGACCATCCGATGAAATCAATTCGCAAGCAAGTGATGCTATGGATGTTGATACGGATTTCCCATCCCAACGGCCCGCGGCCATGGAGTCGAGTCTTATTTCAAAGATACACCGAAGTGACAGCGTTGTCTCACTATTTCCAGATAGCGCCTCCGTTCGAATTGCGACCTCTATTCAGCTTATGGTAATCTGCAAAATCCGCCTAGCTGAGGAACCATGTTTACTCCTTGATGGCCCACTGATAGGATACCTCACAACTTTAACTGAAACAGAAATCCTCGTCGGATGGAAATATGTCATTGACATCCTCAAAGGACGACCAGATGTCTCCAGGGCTAATGCTTGCAGAGTTATAGAATATTTTGGGGAAAAGTGTCTAGAGTCCTATCAGCTCGAAGGGTGTGAGTCCGCAATTTGCGCTTGCATTAGCCTAGTGGGTTGCTTTGTAAACCTTTGGACTGGAAATGAGCGGGACGATCTGTTCGAGTCTGCATCTGAGCTTTATGCATGGTTTACTGACGTCTTATTGGGAGAAGGCCTCGGGTCCTCAAAAGTACTTATAAGACTTTCCGATCTATCAGAGGCCATCTTACGAGCAAACCCTTCTCACCTGAAGGAGACCCGACAGGCCTCTCCTCGAACTACCCTTTTCAGAATACTTCGGGATGGCGACCTGGTAGTAAAATTTCATATATCACAACTTATACCAGATATCTTCAGTCGGTTCGTACTAAAAGAACATGATGCTATTCTCGAAGACGTGATCGACAGGTTACCCCAGGATTCAACGTGGGCTGAAGGAATTGCATTGCGTCTATACCTCTTTGCGCAGCTTGCCTCCCGTTGGCATACACTTCTTCGCCAGAGTATTTACCGCATTTTTGAGACTTCTGGGAATGTTCCAACATCCATTCCTCATGCAAAAGCCTGCCTCCAGGAGATTTCTGTAGAACTTGGCTTGGATGGTCCTAAGGAAGTATTTCAGCTGTTTACACCACAGATCCTTTACACTTGGATGGACAAAGAGTCTGTGACTGACATTCCGTTTGCTGTGTTTGGGTATCCTACGCTTCGTGAACTTCTTGTTGACATACAAGACGAAGTTGTAGGCCAAACTGCAATGAGAGAAAAGGAGGATGATAAGAAAGCTATAGAGGCTTGTCTGGATAGAACATTCGAGGATTTATTATGCGAATCGTTCTATAAGGCTGAGGCATACAGTGTCGCTCGTGACATTAGCATGCCCCCTTCACAAGAGGCAGGGGCCAAAGGAGCAGAACGTGGGATGATTAACCTTCTTGGGAAAGAGAAATTTTTCCAACTATCAGAGAGATATTTCCCTCAGACAGTCGCTACGCTCTTTGGTAGCATCGATCAAACGGAACAGATTCAGAGGGCATTTGAAAAACGGCCCACATTTCATCATGCATTAGTAGCCTGGCAAAACATACATGAACGGAGCCATTCAGCGTCAGCCCTTCCTCTCAGTCAGCAACCTTGCTTCCGTGCAAGGTACCTTCTCGATGAAATTGAATTTTTGTGCAAGAGGAGTGGTTTTGACATTGAAACTATGTGGACTCCGTCCCTAGTTTGCTTCGTTGCAAGAACACTTTTGGACTCGACGCACGCGGCCCTTGGTTCGCTGCATACGTGTTCAGTTATCCGCAAACTCAAGATCTTGATTTGTGTGGCGGGTCAAATATTACTATATGATTATCCATTTGAGATGCTTTTACGTGGAATAAGCCCGTTCCTTACTGATTTTCATTGCGCAGAGGATGCGATTGGCTTGGTTTGGTATCTAATTGAAAATGGAAAGGCATATCTTTCTGACAATCCTTCATTTACTGCCGGTCTAGCTGTTTCAATATTGGCATCT